GTCAGTTATCAAGTGTCCAAATGAAAGTCACCTGACCCTGGGGATGCTGCAATGGTCATAAGTGTGAAAAATTGCCATAAGCCACTTTTTCCAGTGCTGTTGTAACTTCGAAGGGTCACTAAATGAATTGTTGTAAGTCGAGGACTACCTGAATTGTTGAATGTATTGTTAGATTTCATTGCCTCTTGGTGGGAAGAGGGACGAAGAGAAGGACGAGGGGGGACATGATAGCAGTGTTCCAATATCTCAGGGGCTGCCACAAAGAAGAGGGAGTCAAGCTATTTTCCAAGGCGCCTGAAGGCAGGACAAGAAGCAACGGGTGGAAACTGACCAAGGAAAGAAGCAACCTAGAACTAAGTTGAGTGAATTCAAGTCACAAATTAGCTAGGCACATTTTGGAAAATCCGTTCAGCTATCTTCTCAGCTCCCACAAATTTCAAAGCTGCATTTCTACAAAAAAAGACAACACGTGATGGCTTCTGAACGATGTGTTCAAGGGATATCTAAGAGGCTGCTCACAAGGAAGAGGGAATCAACCAGTGGTGGGATTCAGCCGGTTCGCACCATTTCGGCAGAACCGGCAGCTAATTTTTTTTTGCCCAGGCCCAGAATGGGCTTCCGGTAGCGGCATCCACACAGAGAACCGGTTGTTCACATATTTGAATCCCACCACTGGAATCAACCTATAAGCACCTGAAGGCAAGTCATGAAGCAATGGATGGAAACTAATCAAGGAGAGATCCAATCTGGAAATAAGGAGAAATTTCCTGAGAACAATTCCAATTTATGTTAGAACAGTTTGCCCTCAGAAGTTGTGGGTGCTCAACGCTGGAGGTTTTTAAGAAGAGACTGGACAGTCACTTGTCTGGAATGGTATGGTCTCCTGCTTGAGCAGGGGGTTGGACTAGAACAAGGCTTTTCAACCAGTGGTACGGGTACCACCTGTGGTACATTGGCATCTGGCAGGTGGTACGCGACCATCCTAGAAAAGTGGTAGCGGGGGAGGGGAATGAGCTGAACCGGTGGCAGCACCGCACAAGCCTGAGCGAGAGATGGCTGGAGCTGCAGGGCTGTCAGGGCTCAGCGGAAGCGCCAGGATCAATGCCGCTTTCTGGCTGATCGGTGCTTCTTCTGGGCTGTCAGGGCTCAGTGGAAGTGCCAGGATCAGCGCCAGGCTCCAGCTGGAACTCTGCGCTGATCCTGGCACTTCTGCTGAGCCCAGAAGAAGCGCCGATCAGCTGGAATGTTGCAGCATCTCCAGGGTCTTGTGATTTACATTCAGATTCTTGGCAATTGATTCATATTTATGACGGTCACAGTGTCCCAGGGTCATGTGAAGTGACCAAAACCTGCTGCAATCACCCAGCAGACGGGGGAAACAAAAACCAAACACACCCCCCACCCCACCCCCGCTGTCAATCCTCAACAGAAATGCTCACAACAATGGAAACCTCGGACAGGAGGAAGACCGCCGCCGAGCGGGCAGGCAGGTGTCTTGCTCGGCTGTGGCGTCGGGGGCACTTTTTTCAGTGGCATTGTAACTTCGAACAGTCATTAAGTGAACTGTTGTAAGTCGAGGACTACCTGTACTTTATCACTTTGTTCCTCTTTTTTTTTGGTCATCAAATTTTTGAACCTTGCTAGGCAACTGGTGGTACTCGGATGTTGCCATATCCTAAAAGTGGTACAATGGGTGAAAAGGTTGAAAAGCCCTGGACTAGAAGACCTCCAAGGTCCCTTCCAACTCTGTTATTCTATTATATTCTATATGCTCCCCCTCTGCTGTGGGAGGACCAGCTCAGGAAGGATCCTGCTGGGAATCAGCTCCCCTGAAGGAAAGCAGGAAGATTAGCTGGAGGATTTAAGAGAGTTTCTCTTCTTCTGTTTCCAGTCTTTCACCCTTTCTGGAGAAAATATCTCCGCTCTGGGCCCTCATTTCTATAGCCATTTCTCCATCCACTTCTTCTTTGGCTTTGAGAAAATTCAAAGCCAAACACTGCCCCCTGGTGGAAAGAGATATCCATGGCTTCATTCCACCCTTTCTCACCCTTCCTTTGGCCTCTCTAGGAAACAGCGCTGGATCACTTTGTTTAAACCAGGGATAGGCAACCTTGGCTCTTTTATGGCTCGTGGACTTCAACTCCCAGAATTCCTGAACCAGCATGGCTCAGCTTGGAAACCTCTCCCTCTCCCCTCAGCATGGCTGGCTCAGGAATTCTGGGAATTGAAGTCCACAAGTCATAAAAGAACCAAGGTTGTCTACCCCTTTTATTTAAAGCCTTCGAGAATATTTGAGGGCCTTGATTTCTCAATGCTGCAGCTTGGCAGGGGCTGATGGTTCTGGTAGTCTTACTGCCGAAAGTTAAATGGTTAAAACAAATAAAAATAAACTGAGAATGAGTTGTATTTTGCGGGGGGGGGGGAGGAGGTGATCTGTCATAACTACAAACCGTCATCCATCAAGGAACCGATCATTAAGCTAACTACTTGTGTTCCAGTCCCCTACAATGTACAGATAGTCCTCGATTTACAACAGTTCGTTTAGTGACCGTTCAAAGTTACGGCACTGAAAAATGGGACTTATGACCATTTTTCACAGTTACAACCTTTGCAGCATCCCCATGATCCTGTGATTAAAATTCACATCATTTGTGATGGACAAACCGGTTCATATTTATGACCGTTGCTGTGTCTCAAGGTCACGTGACCTTCTCATAAGCAAAGTCCGTAGGGAAGCCAGATTCATTTAACAACCGGGCTACTAACTTATCAATTGCAGTGACTCACTTAACAACTGTGGCCAGAAAAGTCGTAAAATGGGGCAAAACTCAACAACAGTCTCACTGAACAACATAAATTTTGGGCTCAATTGTGGTCATAAGTTGAGGACTACCTGTATATAAGAACAATTAAATAATTGGTTCCCAATTATTCCTTTTTTTTCTTCCCTATTTTTTGTTTCCTTTTTTCCCCTACCATGTTATACCTGTTGAGATTGTTAGCTCATAGATTTAATTGGTTTTACCAAACCCAAGCACAAGGTAAATCTCCTCTAGCTGATCAGAACTGACTTTAAAGATCATTTTTTTTGCAATGCACAAGCAAGTGGAAGTCTAAATTTGCTTGTTTTCTTATTCTTCCCCTAATAAAGGTAAAACTACTCAAGATGGACAGTGATTAATATTTATATCATGTATTTATACATAAAGGTGTAGGTATATACGTATGTTGTATATAGCATGTTTATATGTGTGTTATGTATGCAAGCAACAGAATTTCAATTTCACAGGCTGATGAAAAATAACAGGTTTCTCATCAGTTGTCCTCCTCGTTGTTTTTATTCTTTCTTCTTTGTACACGGATCAGTTTCTCAACCCTAGCAACTTTAAGATACGTGGACTTCAACTCCCAGAATTCCCTAGGCATCAAAGCAAATCTGGCAGAGGAATTCTGGGAGTTGAAGTCCACGCATCTGGCTAAGCTTGAGAATCACTGATATAGATGTTTCCAGCCCCGCCTTCTACCCTTAGTAAGGCCACACTTGGAATACTGCATCCAGTTTTGGTCAACGCGATGTAAAAAAGATGCTGAGACTCTAGAAAGAGTACAGAGAAGAGCAACAAAGATGATTAGGGGACTGGAGGCTAAAACATATAAGGAACGGTTGCTGGAATTGGGTATGTCTAGTTTAACGAAGAGAAGGACGAGGGGGGACATGATAGCCGTGTTCCAATATCTCAGGGGCTGCCACAAAGAAGAGGGAGTCAAGCTATTCTCCAAAGCGCCTGAGGCCAGGACAAGAAGCAACAGGTGGAAACTGACCAAGGAGAGAAGCAACCTAGAACTAAGGAGAAACTTCCTGACAGTTAGAACAATTAACTAGTGGAACAACCTCCCTCCAGAAGTGGTGAATGCTTCAACACTGGAAGTTTTTAAGAAGAGACTGGACAGCCATTTGTAATGGTATAGGGTTTCCTGCCTGAGCAGGGGGTTGGACTAGATGACCTTCAAGGTCCCTTCCAACATCATCATCATAATATTTATTTATTTACTTTTATTATTCTCCTTGCAAATAGAGCATAAAAGGAGGCAAATGACAGCCATTTTTCTGAAATGGTGTAGGGTTCCTGCCTGAGCAGGGGGTTGGACTCGATGACCTCCAAGGTACCTTCCAATTTTTTTTATTATTATTATTATTATTATTATTATTATTATTATTATTATCATCATCATCATCATCATCATTATTATTATTATCATCATTATTATTATTATTATTATTATTATTCAAACATGTGTGGCTATGATGACCACTGTGAAAGATTTCTCTGAAAAGGCTTTTATTACCCTCTGAGCATTTACACAACTTTATTAAGATGCAAAGGCGGGAGCTGCTCTTACTCACTGTCTCCCCCCCCCCCAAAAAAAAATCACTTTGTGATTTCTCGCTTGGGAAGATTCTTTGATGAGAGAAAAAGGACTGCGTTCAAATTTAAATGGTATCAAATTCGGGTTCTGCCCCAATCCTGCCAATTTAGGAACATGCACCTCCCAATCCCACGCTCCTGAAATACTGTGTCACTTTTGTTGTTTAAAAATATAAATGATCGCAGCCTTTTTCTTATCTTCTTCTTGTGAGAACACAGGAGCATAAACACCTGACAGTGGTTCGTTAAAAGAACTGTGGTTTAATATACAATGTGAAAAAAACAATATTCAGCGTAGAGAATACAGGATAGTCAGTTATATTCAAAGGGTTGAAGTGAGCCAGCAGGTTCCAACTGCCATTAAAGGGATACTACCCCCAAATACTCTCTGCTGACTCATTCTCTATATATCACTTCTGCCCGTCAGCTACTAAATCATAATTAACGTGACAACTTTTATCCTGAAAAAGATTGGGCGTGGCTTCTCATTTTGTGAGCACCGCTTGCGGTTTTGTGTGTCCCCCCCCCGCCCCGGAAAAATTCTCAAGTGCTGAACAGAACTTGATTTATCACAAAAGTCTTGGCTGCGGCTTGCGTTCCCCCTTGATCTTTCCCCGCGTGGATTTTCTGATGAGTAGCCAGGCAGTCGCCCCGACTGAAGCTCTTCCCGCATTCAGGGCACTGATAGGGCTTCACCCCCGTGTGAAGCCGCTGATGCCGGATCAGGTCCGAGTTCTGACTGAAGCTCTTCTCGCACTCGGAGCACTTGTAGGGTTTCTCCCTGGTGTGGATCCGCTGGTGCCTGACAAGACTCGAATGGGCGCTTAAACTTAAGCCGCAGTCGGCGCAGCTGAAGGGTTTCTGTCCCGAGTGCATCCTCAAGTGCATATCCAAGATGGATTTACGAAGGAAGCTCTTGCCACAGTTGGAGCAGTCGTAGAGCTTCTCCAGCCGGTGGACTCTCTGGTGCGACGTCAGGTTCGCTTTGTGACTGAAGCCCTTGCCGCAGTCCAAGCATTTATGGGGCAGTTCTCGGCTGTGGAACCTTGGGTGGAGGGGGACCCCCTTCCCGAAGGCTGAGTTTTTACTGGGCCTCTCCTCCGGGATAACGACGAGGCGCCTGTTTCTCCTCTTCTTCCGCTGCTTTTCCTGAGGAACTTGAACGTCGTCCACCTCGGCCGCCCGAAAAGACTCCGATTTATCCTTTTCTCCAGCCTGATCCCCTTCCCGCCTCTGCGAACCGTCGGGATTCCAGGCGATTTCTCTCAGCGCTTCGCATCGGATTTTTTCCAACTGTTTGCACCTTTCACCCCCATTTTCCTTCTTGGAGGCACCTCCTGGAGCAGGGAGAGAGACACCAAAATGAACCCCAGGTAGTTCTCAACTGACAACAGCTCTTTTAGTGACCGTTCGAAATTACAGCGGCACTGGGGAAAAAATGACTTATGACCGTTTTTCACGCTTAACAACCATTTGTACCGTCCCCGTGGCCGTGTGATCCAAATTCAGACACTTGGCAACTGACTCCTATTTACGACCGTTGCAGTGTCCTGGGATATGTGATTCCCTTTTGCGAACTTCTGACAAGCAAAGCCGATGGGGAAGCCAAATTCACTTAGCAACCGTGTTACAAACTTAACAACCGCAGTGATTCGCTTCACAACTGTGGCAGATGGGGCAAAGCTCAGTTAACCAGTGTTTCACCCAACAAATGTTTCACTTAACAACAGAAATCTGGGGCTCAGTTGTGGCCTTAAGTCAAGGATCGCCAGTACTGTCAACTAGAAAACTAGGTCAGAGCTATGAAAGTAAGGCACTGCCTTCTCTTAGATCAGAGGTAGGCAACTTTGGCTCTTTTATGACTCGTGGACTTCAACTCCCAGAATTCCTGAGCCAGGAATTATACTCATAATCCATCCCAGTTTGACTGACCCTGGAGGATGTCCCAGTGGTGGGATTCAAATATGTGAACAACTGGTTCTCTGTGTGGATGCCACTTCCGGAAGTCCATTCTGGGCCTGGGCAACAAAAAATTAGCTATCGATTCTGCCGAAATGGTGCGAACTGGCTGAATCCCACCACTGGGATGTTCTTAAGCAGGTCTTAAAAGCAATATTGTGGAGGACATCAAGTGACAATAAAAGATGGATGTCCCACCATGTCCTAAGGCAGGGGTAGGCAACTTTGGCTCTTTTATGACGCGTGGACTTCAACTCCCAGAATTCCTGAGCCAGCCATGCTGAGGGGAAAGGGAGAGGTTTCCAAGCTGAGCCATGCTGGCTCAGGAATTCTGGGAGTTGAAGTCCACGAGTCATAAAAGAGCCAAGGTTTGCCTACCCCTGTCTTAGATAATCTTTGTCATTTTTTTTACTGTGGGCACAACGGCACACATCAAAAATGAAATTTAGTTGCCCTCTCTCAAAGTGAAACACATACATGACACACACCTAAAACATACTATGTACAACCTATGTCTAGACCCACACCCCTACATATCCATAACAAATAAATATTAAATATTGTCCATCTTGAATATATAACGGAAGGAGGAAGCTTGAGAGTTCACGAGGTTAATGCTGTATGGAATGAAACTATGGCTGAATCTGGATGTTCTGCTACGGATACCACGAAACCTCCTCCCAGAAGGTAACAAGGAAAACAGGTCATGAAGAGGATGTGTAATGACCCAGATAATCTTACGGACTCCCCTCACCTGCCTATCTCCCCTGTCTGTCTCTGCCTGCCTTGCACTCCGGAGTGTCATCCTTATCCCAAAGGTGCTTTTTCAAGAGGCAACTGGACTTTCTTGTTTTTCTGTGTGAGAGAAACCCCCAACTCACTTGTTGTATCTCACAGCAATTCACAATTGTTAAAGAAGGCAGGTGCCCGTTTACCTGCAGGTTCTCCTTCTTCTGAACTCTGAAAAAATGTCTTGTTTTTCTCTCCCAGCCAAGAGACATCACTTTGGGGTGACAGTGGACCTTCTGCAGCAGATAACAAAAAAAGCAATACAGACGTATGAGTTAATTTCTACATTTCTAGTGGTAGACAAGGATTTCAATCCTTAAGAACAGGAATCGGTTGACCTCAACTATCCCATTAATCTAAGCTCAAGAATGGCCAATGAGTAATGCCGATGAGCTATAGCAGTGGTGGCGAACCTATGGCACGGGTGCCAGAGGCGGCACTCAGAGCCCTCTCTGTGGGCACCCATGCCATCACCCCAGTCCTAGGCCTTCAGCTGGGTTTTATAAAACTTTTTCGCTTTAGGCCTCTGCTGCCATGTGCAAAAAAAAAAGTTCAATCAATCAGTCAATTTCAACTTCTTGCGGGAAAAAAAAGTTCTTGCAAAGTTGGAATTGATTGATTGAATCTTTTAGTCCCACCCAGTCTGCCATTACCACCGTAGCCAAGCCCACCCAATGGCCACATCCAGCCAATGGGCCACACCCACCCGGCACCCGACGATGCCTAAGTGGGTTTTGGGTTGCAGTTTGGGCACTCTGTCTCTAAAAGGTTTGCCATCACTGAGCTATAGACACAGATACCGTTAATGATACTATCTCTTAGGAAACCTGTAGCAGCAGGCAACTGAGTTTGCCAAAGAGCTAGACTAGATGACCTTCTGGGTTCCCACATGGTGTCTCTACAGTGGTTTGCTTGGAGGGCCAAAATTTACGTGGCTGAGTGAAACATTTATAAAGTGAGTTTTGTCCCATTTTATGACTCATCTTGCCACGGTTGTTAAGTGAATCGTTGCATTTTGTTAAGTTAGTAACGCGGTTGTTAAGTGAATCCGGATTCCCCATGGACTTGGCTTGTCAGAAGGTTGCAAAAGCTGATCACATGACCCCGGGACCTGCAACCATCATAAATGTGAGCCAGTTGCCAAGCGTCTGAATTTCGATCGTGTGATCATGGCGGTGTCGCAACGGTCGTGTGAAAAATGGTCTAAGTCACTTTTTTTTGTTAGTGCTATTGTAATTTCGAATGCTGACTCCTGAGAAATAGATTCATTTTCTCTCGAAGGGAGCCTTGAGGCTAAGACCCTGCTCTCCAGTTTATTCAATGTTGGCTTCTTACAACCAGGCCTCACACTTATGACCATCGCAGCATTCCCAGAGTCATGTGATCAAAATCCAATTGCTTGACAACCAGCATGTATCTAAAATGGTTGCAGAGTCCATCAGTGATTTATCAGCCATCTTCTTCTTCTTCTTGTGCCATATCCGTTATCGGACGTGGGCGATCATGTTGGCGATCCTGTTTTTATTAGCAGCCGCACGAAAAAGGTGCTGCTGAGTTTTGTCCAAACTAGTCCCTTAGATTTTGAAGCCACGATGTTCTTCTTCTGCCTGGACCTCGTTTGCCTTCAGTCTTTCCCTGGAGGATTAAATGGAGTATGCCGTATTTTTCTGGGTGTCGCATCACATGTCCGAAATATTCTAATTTTCGTTTTTTAATTGTTTTGATGAATTCCCTTGGCTTTCCCAGGCGGCTTATCCCCTCCTCATTTCTGATCTTGTCAACCCAGCTTATACGTAACAGCCGCCTGTAAATCCACATTTCAAATGCTTCTAGTCTCTTCAGGTGGCCTTCTGTCAGCCATAGCAAAAAAAAGAGACCACAACTCATTTAACAACTGCCTTGCTTGCTGATCCAACTGCGTTCATAAATCGAGGGCTACTTGTACAAAAGGTGCCTTTCTGCATGTTTGCTCGGGGATGGGGAAAGCAAATGAGGTCACAGATTAATTGCAAGCATGGTACCGACTGGATCTGGGTGGAAATTAAATAGGCACCGTGGGGAACCCAGAGAAGGATCAGCTACTATAGAATATCAAGACTATGGAAAATAGAATAGAATAGAATGTAAAGTAATAATAATAATAATAATAATAAAGTTGGAAGGGACCTTGGAGGTCATTTAGTCCAACCCCCTGCTCAGGCAGGAAACCCTATACCATTTCAGACAAATGGCTGTCCAGTCTCTTCTTAAAAACTTCCAGTGTTGGAGCATTCACCGCTTCTGGAGGCAGGTTGTTCCACTGGTTAATTGTTCTAACTGTCAGGAAGTTTCTCCTTAGTTC